ATATATATATATATATATACATATATATATATATAGTTCTAAATTAGCTTTTCCAGGATTTATTTTTCTAAGAAATCCAAGAGTCATTCAACATCCTCTAGACCAATTTTCATTTAGGGAGAAAAAAGAGTGGGTACAAGAATAAGAAATGACCAAATAAAATACATGCACAACTGACAGGCTTAAGTACATAGCTTCCTGAGCTGGGCAGAAAATCTCTAACTGAATTTACCTCCCTCTTGGACTTCCTCCAAATCACCTAAATCACTATAATGGTGAGATCAGTGTATTCAGGTAAAGCAATTCTCTTTTTAGCTAATCAGGTTTAATTACATCTTCTATAATCTCAAGGCTGTTTCCATTATTATTAGTCCAATCAGGGTTTATGGAATCTTCCACTGAAATAAAGCCACTCTTGATGAGGGATTCAGAACCTTATTATACAACACTATCAATACCACACAACAATTTAGGGATTGGAAAGTAAAGAGTAAAATTATTCCAATAAAGGTGACGGGGGAATTTAAGTGGGTAAAATGCAATTACCCAATTAATTCCTTCTAATTAGCATGGCCAAGTTTCTCTGGTAGTTTATATCTATTGTAGATATTTTTCTGAAATTAGTTGAAACACAAATTTCTTCATATTTTTCAGTACTTTATTTGGTAGGCTGACAATAAAGTTAAACCACAATGGAATTGTTGTAATAGATGTAGGTAAAATTTTAGAAATTTACTTTTATGCTGTTAAGGTGATTTTAATAATCAACATTTCCTTTTTATAAACTGTTTCATTACATTTTTGATTAGGTGATACATGCACATGGTTCAAAATTCAAAAGGCATGAAACAGTGTATATGGTGAAGAATACATTTCTCTCCCATTTTCTTCTATTCTTGGCCCTAAAAGCCACTTCCCTTGCCAGTTTTTTACATATCCTTTTATGTTTTTCTTTTATTGAAATACAATTTATATATCATAACGTTCAAGGTTCCTGGGTGGTAGCACAAATGGTTTGTGATCAGCTACTAACCTAAAAGTCTGTGGTTTGTACCCATCCATCAGCTCCATGGAAAAACTGCTTCCATAAAGATTATAGCCAAGAAAACCCTACGGATCAGTTCCACTCTGTAACACATGGGATCACCACAAGTCAGGGGCTGACTCAATGGAAGCTAACACAAAAACCATAAAATTCAACATTTTAGGGCTTACAATTCAGTGGATTTTGATATATTCATAAGGGTGTACAACTATTACCACTATATAATTCCAGAACATTTTCATCATCCCCAAAAGAAACCCCTATATTCATTGGCACACTCTCCATTATATTTTTTAATTTAAAAGAATGGTAGTTGTTGTTGTTGTTGTTATGTGCTGTCGAGTCAGACCTGACTCATAGCGACCCCTCCTTGGGTTTCTGAGGCAGTATCACTATGGAAGTAAATTGCCCCATCTTCCTTCTGAGGAGTGGCTGGTGGGTTTGAACCACTAGCCTTCTGATTAGCAGTCAAGTGCCTTAGGCACTATACTACCAGAGCTCCCTAAAAGAATGGTAGCATACTATAAACATACTAGAAACACTAACCTGCATGGTACTCTTTTTACTTAAATATACACCTCATAGATCTTTCCATAGTGATATACACATATGCGCTGATAAATGTTCATAAAACATTCATTGAAATAGGATATTATATGAGTTGGATATTGTGTAAACACCATATTAAAACCTTATGGGAGCTTGTATCTAGTTGTCCTTGTCACCACTGCTGCTGGAGCTGTTGGCAGAGGCTGGAGGAATGGGCGACAGCACTGGTGGTGGCTGAGAGGACAGCGGTGGGAGCAGAGTGAGAGAAAGCAATCAGGGAGGGAGCGGAGCATGCCCAACCCCACCTGCTGTTCCACCTGCCTGAGCAGCAGGAGCAGCCCAGGCCCTACAGCCCCACTGCCCACAGTGCAAAGCCTGACAGTCCAGACCCAGAGCCATGTCCTCTACCTCACCTGCCTATATCCCACACATAGTCCAGTGCTGCAAGAGTCTGGGTTTGAGATCGTTAAAATTATTAGGGAGAAATAATAAACAGAAAGAGAGCTGCTTTCCCTTTAAAAGATATAAAGAACTTTATGAGATCATGGACATACATGTGGCTGGATGTTGCCCAAATGGACATTAAGCGATGTGTACCTGTATAGAGATGCCGTATTCTCTTTAATATCTGCATGCTATTCCATTATTTGGATAAACCATATAATATATCTAATCAGTGTCTGATTAATAGGCATTTAGGTTGCTTCCAATCTTTGCTATCACAAATAATGCTGCAACAAACATTCTATGCATGTATATTTTTGTATACATTAAGTATATGTAGAATATATTCTCAGACATAGAATTGTTGGGTCAAAAATCATGTGTACTTAAAAAGAAAGAAGGAATAATAATAATTAAAAAATCATGGGTGCTTTAAATTTGGCAGATTTTGACAAATTGCTCTCCTTTGAGGTTATACCTATTTATATGTCTACCAGCAACATATGCATTGGATGTATTCTCACACTTTCACTAGCACACAGTATTTCATTTATTTAAACCTCTGTTAATAGTGACAGGTATCTCATTACAGCTTTACATTTGCATTTCTCCTATTAAGAGTAAGTAAGGGTGATATATCTTTTCATACGTGGATTAGTGGTATAGTGCCTAAGGCATTTTATTGCTAACCAGAAGGCTGGCAGTTCAAATCCACTAGGCACTCCTCAGAAGGAAGACTGAGCAATCTACTTCCATAGAGATACCACCACAGAAACCCAAGGAAGGGTTGCTGTGAGTCGGGACAACTTGACGGTAGTATTTTTTTTTTAAATCTGCCTTAAAACAAAAAGAAATTAAATCATAGTGAACTGCATTAGAGTTCCTTAACTTGCACTTGTTAGTTCTTAAACTTACCCCTATTTCTTCAACTATTTTATTCCCTTGACAAAAGCACTTCCCTAAAGTATTTTTGTGGATTCTAAATGAATTCAAAAGCTTCCTAGCATTGAGGGGGAATAGGATATTAAGACTTGCCTCAGGTATTATTCGCTGTTTAAAAGCTTAGAGACCTAATTCTGTAACTTTAAAAGGTGCTGAGAAATCTATTCAGAGATTTAAGAACTAAAAATAAACTCCTGTTTCCGACAAGATGTTTAAACACAAACTTTTGTAAACCAAAGAAACAGATCAACCAACTCCAGGGCAGGGACTGACAATTTTTCAAATCTCATTACAATTTTCCACTGAGGTTTGCTAGGAAGTTCAGGTGAGTATACCAGCTCTGAAAAGGATTATGGTAAAATCCCAGTTTTGGCAAATAGGGAAGTGGGGAATGTTGGCTAAACTGATTCCTGGGTTGGGATGGAAGTACATAATGGCTATTTTTGTGAGGACAGACATGTGTGCTTTGAAAAGTAGCCCATATCACTGAAAACAAACCTGGCTGTAGGTTGCTACCTTGCTTTGGAGATCATCTCATTGAGGGTCTTCCTCTTTTTTGCTGACCCTTTTCTTTACCAAGCATGACTTCCTTTTCCAGAAAATGGTTCCTTCTGACAAGTCTGGCCATTCTCGCTTCTAAGGAGCATTCTGGTTGTACTTCCAGTAAAGATTTGTTTGTTCTTCTGGCAGTCCATGTTATTTTCAGTATTCTTCGCCAATAGCACAATTCAGAAGCATCAGTTCTTCGGTTTTCCTTATTGTCCAGTTTTCACATGCATATGAGTCGACTGAAAATATCATGGCTTAGGTTAGGCGCACCTTAGTCTTCAAAGTGACATCTTTTCTCTTTAACACTTTAAAGAGGTCTTTTGCAGCAGATTTTCCCAGTGCAACAATGGCTAGTTCCATGGGTGTTGACTGTAGATCCAGGTAAAACAAAATCCCAACAACTTCAATCTTTTCTCCATTTATTATAATGCTGCTTATTGATTCAGTTGTGAGGATTTTTCCATCAAGTTTACAGCCTCGGAAAATCTATGGGGCAGTTCCACTCTGTTCTACAGGGTTGCTGAGTCAGAATTGACTCTATGGCAGTGGTGGGGTAATGAGGCTTTGTCTGTGCAGGGTGTGTTCTAAACCTATTGCTTCAGAGCTATAGAAAGAGCAGATAAGATACAGAAGCAAACATGTAGCACAGAACACAGATGCCATGGCAAATCACAAAACCAAGGAATGCCTTTAGGCATATGAGTTTGTGCATAAAGCATAAATTAAAAGTTCCTACCACCCCACAAGCCCCTATTCTTAAATCAGAATAGGATTCTCCACAGTGGCACTATTGACATTTGGAAACAAATTACACTTTGTTTGAGGTGGGGGGGGGGCAGTACTGTTCATGGTATGATTTTTATAAACATCCTTGGCCTCTAACCACTAGGCGCCTCCCAGTAATACCCCCAGTCATTACAATCTAAAATGTCTACAGATATTGTCAATCTGTGGGACAAAAATGCCCCTGGTTAAGAACCACAACCTTACAGGAAACCTTTGGTATAATTTTCTAAGATACCCTTCCAGACACTTTGTATGTCAATACTTGCAGTCATATGTATGCGTATATGTCTATCCTTTTTTTATTACACTTATTTTTACCTTTAATCATTTATCATGAGTTATAATTCTATGTACTCACACCCTACCTGATACACTGAAATATGGAGATAGCATAATTTAAGAAGCCACCCATTCCTACTCCCACCTCCTACTGGAAAGACTTCTCTCTGTGTATGCATGGAAAAGACTAGAGAATAGAGATAAAAAAAAGTGATAAGGATGAAGATAAATGACAGGTTTATGGAGCCAGCAAGAGCTAAAAAGGCTTTCTCTGCCAATGCTGTTGTTTGGTTTGTTGCTTTGTGATCTCTTCCAAAGCAAGAACTGGACTACCAAACTGCTGACCATTCTCCCTCATAACCTTGACTTTGCGCTAAGGAAAGAGACTACAAAGAATGGGGATTTAAGATCACATAAAGGAATACTTGATCTCAAGCTCAGCAAACGTGGTTGTGATGCCAAGACAGGAGAGACAAGGAAGGGCCAGAGATCTGAAAGGGCCCTGTGATGATCAGAGTAAAGCAATCATGAATGCCTGCCAGTTAACCTTTGCTTCCATTCCTTTCCAATCATCATAGGCATGATGATAGTCACTGTCCACCACTTGGGTGGTGGTGCATTCGGTTAGAACCAGCTTCCCTGCTGCACAGTACCCTAAATCCACACCAATGAAGTGCAGGGTGGATGGAGTCAAGAGGCAACTGCTGATGTGCTAAGAAGGAAATGTCTTCCTGTTGTTCTTAAGTGTCCTAGGCTTGGCAGGTCACAGGCTACATCAACCTGTGACCCTAGCTTCTCCTCTGATGACGGACTCATGATGAGTAAGATCCAGACAGAACAGGTCTTTTACAACAGATATGATCAAATTTTTTAAAAATAC